TGAAGAGATGTTCTCCCAGACACAGAAAGGCACACAGGCAGGCACTCAGGAAAACACAAATCAAAACCACGAGGAGACCCCATGTCCCAGCTGCTAGGATGGCCAAAAAAAGTGATTTTTTAAAGACAGAAAATACCAAGAGTCTGGGGGGGAGGGGGCAGTGGAGTCTCAAGTGTTTCCAGTGGAAAGTGATGCAGACTCGGAAAAGCCTGGTGGTTCCTTAATTGATCAAGCATGTCGTTCCACATGCTGCAGGCATTTCACCCCTAGATTCGCACTCAAGGGAATCCAGACCATACATCCGCCCACAACATTGTACATGAACATTCATCACAGCGTTCTTCAAATAGCTGAAAAGTGGAAACAAATCCCCACGTTGTCAGCAGAGGAATGCTCACACAGAAGTGGTCTAGCCATGCAATGGAATATTATTCAGCCACACAAAGGAACGAAGTAGTAAAGACAAACACGAACTTGTGATGCTCAGGGAAAGAAACAGGCAGAATATAGACACCTCTGACTCCACTCACAGGAAATAACCAGAACCAGCCAATTCACAGGAGTTGGGTGAGAGGAGATGGCAAATGGTAGGTAGCAGAAATGGGGTCTTGACATGATGAAAATGTTCTAAAACTAATTGTAATGATGGTTGTATGTTTCTGTGAAGATGTCAAAAATGACAGGACCACATACTTTAAAAAGGAGAGTTATGTATGGAAGTAGGTAGAGGGAGCATTCTAGAGGTTAAAGGTTTAAGTAGGGATGGGGGAGAGGATGGGTAGGGTGGGTTACCCAAAATTAAGGACGTATTAAAAACCCTTATGGAAGCCAGGCATGGTGGTGCACACCTTCAATCCCAGCACTCAGGAGGCAGAGGCAGACGGATCTCTGTGAGTTTGAGGCCAGCTTGGTCTCCATAGAGAATCCAGGCCAGCTCCAGCTACAGGGAGACCCTGTCTCAAAAAGACAAAAAAAAAAGCCCTTATGGAAACCCACTACTTTATAAGCTAATTTTTGGGTTTTTTTGGTCTTTTTGAGACAGGGTCTCCCTGTAGCCCCAGCCGTCCTGGATGAGACCAGGACGGCCTGGCCTCGAACTCACAGAGATCCGCCTGCCTCTGCCTCCTGAGTGCTGGGATTGAAGGTATGCACCACCAAGCTCGGCTATAAGCTAATGTTTAAATAGAATATTTTAAAGGCATTTGAACGGGGGTGGCCTGTACAGGTGGACACTGCTGCTCCCAGAAGAAATGGGTTATTAAATGAAAATCTCAGTGCCAGGTGTGGGATGCCTCCCTACAAGTTGTTGGTCAGGAAGACCCAGAGGCTGCTAAAACAACGCAGACCGTTGCTCTTCGTTGCCCACCATAAGTTGATTGTAAGACCCTGTTGCTGAAAGTACCATACACTGAAGTTGCAGGTCATAGAAAAATCAACCTGAAAGTAATTAGAAAACTTCCTCCTGCTGGCTAGCTCTCATAGTATGGAGAGTGCTATGCAGGCCACTGGAGGAGAAGAGGCATCAATAGCACTACCCTCTGCTGGTCCATGTGTGCGCCAATACTAACACACCAGGCAAGATGTGTCCACTGGTGCAATAGTGGCACAACTGTCATGGGGGCAACCAACAACATTCTGATTGGCTTTGACACCTGCTCCACAAGACAGAATTCATGCCTGATATTGTAAACCTGGTCAAAAGCCCGCAGCTGGGCAGCCATAGAACATATGTAGGTGAGGAGCCTACTGCAGTCGTTCTGCTAAATGGAGATGGTGTGAACTGCCTTTTAAATATTTATATTTATACCCGTGGATTTATGCCGCTCTCAACCTTGGCTGGAGAAGCTGCTTTTAGCAGTTAATGAGGAGACTCATAACTGGTCAAAGTGCTGAGAATAAGTGATGGTTGAGTGCTTATCCCTGAATGGGACATTGTATCAACACCTCCACCCACATCACAGAAGAGGGGCGGAAAGAATGTCAGAGCTGATATAACCCAGATTGACCTGCAGTGAGCATAACTAAGGATGGCCTTGAATTTTGAACTTCTGATACACATACCCTGAGTGCTAGGATTGCAGGTATAGATCACCCATCTCCAAATGCAGCCCTGTTCTAAAGTATGAGTGGACATAGGACTTCTGTGTATGAATTCAGCCTCCAGCATTGGCCTGTGCTGATGAGGTGGGCCTTCTGGGACCAGGGGATAACTCTCTCTGAACATCTCTCATGAGGAAAGGTCTGCTTTAGGGCTGAGGCTAATGCCAAGTTGAGTTATATTTGATTCTGGCCAGGAGGGAAGAGGAAAAAGAACATTCTGCTGGAAACCAGAAGAGCTGGTCATTAAATCCCGGCTCTGGGCTGAGGGTATGCATTGCTCAGTGGTAGACCTGCGGACTCCATCCCCAGCACCAAAAAAGAATAAAATAAATCTAAAAGGTTTAAATACTGGCTTTGCCACCTAACTTCTGAGTTTGTCCAAACAATCTTTTTGGGTCCCCTGTGGTATAATGTATAAGGCATAGAGTTGTTGAAAGGGTTAAGGGAGAAAAGGTTTGTGAAAGACTGAAATGCAGTGTATTCAGTATACAGTGGAATCTTTTATTTCATCTATTTTATTTAATTTACCTTAAATCTGTTTTAAAGATTTTGTTTTTAGTTATGTGTATATGTGTGTCTCTGTGTGCATATGTGCATGTGCATGAAGATGCCTGAGGAGGCCAGAAGAGGGCATCTGATCTCCTGGAGCAGGACTTACAGGTAGTTGTGAGCTGCTTGACATGGGTTCTGGGAACAAAAGTCTAGTCCTCTGCAAGAGCAGCAAGTGTACTTAACTGCTGAACCATCTCTCCAGCTCCCAAATTTACTTTTTTAACTGATATATAAAGGCATAAAAATTACACACATTAGCCCTTTGCTTCCCTGGGCTGCATAGCCTCCAGCACCCTGGTGCCAGCACCTTTCCTGGGGTTTATACTGAGTTCAATATTGTATAACTGTATTAATTCAACTGTGAACCTAAAAATTTACAGCCACTTTTGAAAGAGATGTATCTTTGCTCTGGAAATTGTTATTGAATATGTTAAAGCTGTAATGAAGTTCTTCTAATCATGTGGTTATTAAATAAATAAATAAATTACACACAGAGAATATCAAAACTGGAGGATGGGGAGGAGGGGCTGCGAAATGCTATCTTCTGGACACGACACAGCCTTTATATTCATGAACTCACAGCAGCTGTAGTTACCTGCACAAGATCAATGCAGTCAACCTTCCAGCTTGGATGGGGGAAGGCTCCATTCCTAATCTGAGCTATTGGCAGTTGGTGACTGCTGGGGGGAGGAGGAGTCATTTTCCTCAGGGGTGTGGTCCCTGGTAGGTTGCCCATGCTCCAATGGATGGTCCCATACCCATGTGAATTCAGGTAGCACTAACTGAACTTAATGGGTTATTAAAAAAATAAGAAAGAAGGCACAAAGGTGGGAGGGGGACATATTGGGGTGTGAGGGGGTCTAAGGGGCAGATATGATCAAGAGACACTGTATATATGTATTAAATTATCAAATAAATAAAAAGCTTTTTTTTTTTTTTTGGTCTTTTTTGAGACAGGGTCTCCCTGTAGTCCCAGCTGGCCTGGAACTCACTATGTAGACCAGGTTGGCCTTGAACTCACAGCATCTGCTTGCCCCTGCCTCCCAAGTGCTGGGATTAAAGGTGTGTGCCACCACGCCCGGCAAAAAGCATTATTTTTAAAATGGGAAACAGATGTGGTAGTGCATGCCTTCTATCCCAGCACTCAGGAGGCAGAGACAGGTGGATTTCTGTGAGTTCCAGGCCTGCCTTGTCTACATAGTGAGAGTAGCTATATTAACAGAGTTTGGGGGAATAGCTAGAATTTCAGGGGTCCAGTTTTTTCTGTCCATCTGTAAGTGGGCCCAGGCTAGCTCAAGGCAATTTGTTTTGAAAATGGACTATATTTTCATTTCTTATAATATTCTATGTAAGTTATGTTTAATGAAAGATGTTAGAACCTGAGACCTGGAAGCTGTGGTGGGTTCAGAAGATGACTGAGCAAACTGTGAGGGTCAGAACCACAGGAGCAGGGCTATGGTCAGAGTCCTGGGAACACAGGACAGAAGTACTGGATATCACCTGGACAGTGGCTGGGTTGTTCCAATCTGGAAAGAGGGCTGCTCAGGACCGGGGGAGATCAAGCTGCCCCTAGCCTGGATAGAGAGCTAGGCTGTCCCAAACTGGAGGGAGCTAGACTGTGTCTGGCCAGAAGAGGGACTGGGCTGCCTCCAGGCCTGAAGATAAAACAGGGCTACCCTGGGCCTGGAAAGAGGGCTGCTTGTAACTGTGGAGGGTCCTGGCTGCCCCAGGCCTGTAGAGGTGCTGGGCTGCCGTGTCACTGGAGAGGGGCTGGGTGCCCTAGGCCTGGAGAGTGTTTGATGGCATAAAGCTGTCTCACAGATCAGGCCGCACCCCCTGAGCCTCTCTCCACTTGCACCTGCTCAAGGAGCTGACAGGCTACACCCATGTGACCCCACAGTTACAAAGGGCTGAAACTTCCTCCTGGGTATCAGAGGCCACTTGGGTAAGGCAGGTGCTATGGGCTACTTTTTTAACTATACAGTATGGAATGTCCTCCTCCCTCAGAAACTTTTAAAAAAATTTTATGAATACGAGTATTTTGCCTGCATGTATGTAAGTGCACCTGTGTCATGCAATGCCCGCAGAGGTCAGAAGAGGGCATTGGATCCCCTGGAACTGGAGTTACAGATGGTTGTTAGCTACTGTGTGGGTACTGGGAACCAAAACCAGGTCCTCTTTGAGAGTCATCAGTGCTTTTAACCGCTGAGTCATCTCTCTAGGCCCTCTCCCTCAGAAAATTTTAAGATAGGGAACCCCACTTTGTCTGGTGAAACAGAAGGCTCTCTCTCTCCAGAACCTGGCCACACTGTGTGCACTATTAATAACTCTGTTAACGAAGCTCTTACCTGAAGGATGCTTCGCTTCAGCACCTCTCGAACTCACCACCTCTTGTCCCCATTCCTCCATGTATCTAATAGAGGAGGCCCTCAAGAGGAAGCTGGGTTGTCGGGGGCCTGGAGAAAGATGAAAAAAGCCCTAGTCAGGAGTGGATTTCCCTTGAGCTTAGAGAAGCACTGGGCTACCCTGGGCCTGTGGAGTGGCTGGGCCATGCCAGGTGGGTGGAAGTCTGCATTTAGGATTGAGACTCCTGTCTCTCTTTCCATGGCTCCATTCTAGAGCAGTCTCCTCTCAATCTCACTGAAGACAACCACATACTCTCCCAATTTCCTGACTCTCCCGCTGAGGATGTCAGTCTGTGTGGGAAAAGAAACAATCTTTCCCAACATGCCCCACAAAGGTCTGTTAGTGGACCTGGCTACTCTGTCCTCCTGGGCAGGTAGAGCGTCACCAGCTGGGCAGATATGTTAGAGAGAGAGAGAGAGAGAGAGAGAGAGAGAGAGAGAGAGAGACTATATCCTCCCCAGGAAGCTCCTGTTATCCCCCATGGCTCCCCTTGCTCAGGCTCAGATCCCTTCCTTTGAGTGTCCTCAGCATACAAGTCACTATGGAAGCAAGAGGCAGGGTGGCTATGGTCCAGGGCATCCCAGGTCCTCATCCTGTTTCCCCTGTGCAGAAGCTGTGTGATCTTGGGCACGTTACTCCACCTCTCTGTGTCCTGCTGCCTCAGAGACAGATCACAGATGACCACATCCCTCCATCACAGGACTCCAGGGAGCATCTAGATGTGCTGTCCTGCCCATCTCTGTCCCCTCACTCCCACCCTGTGAGGGAGAGCTCAGGGAGGGGCTGCAGAGAGTGTCTCACATCATCCTCCCCAGCAGGGCCCACCCTGTGAGTCATCCACTAACATGGGCTAAGCGGCCTTATCACATGCCAGGTGTGGCCAGAGATGATCTCTGAGGTCCCCAAAGCCACGTAAGCTGTGACCTCATCTGATGTGAAGCCTGGGCTGCAGTAAAGGGTCTGGAAGCCCTGGCCTGGCACTGCTGTCCTGCTGTGGTCCAGCAGATGGAAGACAGACCTTGGCCTGGCCTGTCAGCTCCACACTTCTGCTTCCTGGTGAACTACAGCATCTGGGGGAGAGGGGAAACGAGGGGATGATGGGACTGAATCCATCACGCCAGCTGCCTCCCATAGCAGGAGAAGAGATATCAGGGAAAGGCCAGCCCAGCACCCGCACACATGGTAGACGGCAGAGGCCAGGCTGTCAAGTGACCCGTGGTACCCATCTGTCCTGAGAATAGGGGGCTAGCACCTTCCCCAGAGGACTGCCAGGCCCTTAGACCCTCCCATGGAGAGGCGGGAGTCACTCAGACCCCTGAGGAGGGCCCAAGGTGTTCCCTTGGCTGAGTGAGGAACAGTAAAGGCCTACAGCAGCAGGGGGAGCCACCGCTCCTGCCTTTGCCGAGGACTCCCTGGAAGCTTCTGGAAGAACAAAGGCAGGGCAGGAGACCTGCCTTCCTGCCACAGGGAAGCCACAGCTATGCTTGCCCTTTAACTCGGAGCCTCAGTTTCTCCCCTCAGTGGTCTAAAGACCCTGTGCACAGTTGTTGTAAGGGTTAGATCAGGTGACCGTTGAGGACCATGTAGTCAAGGGGGGAGAACATGGACTTGGCCGCAGACAAAATGGATGTGGGTGGGGCCTGCAGGATGCTGCCTGCTCCCAGCCTCTTCTGAGGCCCTAACATCCACAGGGCTCAGGGAGCCAAACAACACACATGGGCTGCCTGCCAAGTACAGTCCTGTGCAAACCCTGCTCTGCACAGCATCCAGCCCTACACATGAAAAATCTGAAGGAAAGGCTCATTGTCACTCACCCCCAGCTCATAGTCTCTGCCCTGACCAGTCCAGGGGTAGAAAAATATGGGGTTGTCAAGGGCCTCAACAGGCTGCTTAAGGTCATAGTGCCCCATCAAAGCACATGCAAGGGGGTTGACATCCAAGTGCAGAGAACAGCTCCCCTATACCCAAAGGCCTGAATCCACAGAGCCGTGAATCAGGAGACTGGCCACACTAAGTTCCCAGCCCGTGGCACTCTGGGTCAGTCCAAGAAATGGTGTGAAACTGAGAACAGTTTCAAAGCAAACTTGCGCTCAGCTTAGCAAGAGCTCTGCAAGGCCTGCACTGTCCACTTTATGAAGAGTCCTGCCCGCTGGCTCCTGAGGTACATCTCACAGCTGGAGCCCTGCCCCGCTCTCAGCACACTACTGTTGGATGAGGCCACTCCCCTGTTTTGCCCCTGGGTAGTACCCAGGCTGTCAGGGCATGAAAGGCCCCAGGAACCAGACCACCTACTGGCCTACTTTCCCAGGCCGGCCTCCCCATCTCTCCCTCCACAGGTTCCTCTCCATCCCTAACTTGGGCCTCTAGAAACTTGGATGAAAAAAGACTATTTTTACTGCCTCCTGCTGTATTCAGTGGGCCTTCAGTGGGGGCATCTGCCCTGGCCATCCATCATGGGATCTGTGGCTCTGTCACCTGGGGAAGCACATGGTACCCTCCTTCTCCCCAGTGCTGCTGAGAAACCCCAGCTCATAAGAGGCCCATCCAGGCCTAGTCTTTTTAGGCATCACTGTTAACACGTGCCTCTCTCGCATTCTGACAAGATCACACCCTTTGGCAACTGTGAGCAGTTTGTTTCGTACTTGAGAGTGCCAGTTGTGGGAGGGATTCTCCTGGAGTCTCCAGGCAGCCAGAGGGCAAAGTCTCATGGGTACCAGAGGAAGCAGGGTGTGGCACAGAGCCTCCTGCCTAGAACGGCTCTCTGCTGGGCTTTCCCATGGGAGCTCCAGACCAGGTGCTCCTGGGCGGCCTACATAGCCAAGCTCTATGGCTCCTCTAAGGTTTACCTCCCCTGCAAGGCTCTGCCGGTCTTCAGACTCCTGCAACCTCAACCACCAGCAGTTTGGCACCCCCGTCACCAGACTGTGCCCTGTGGTGCCTGGACCTGAAGCAGTGCTTCAGAAAAATGCATGAGGAACCGGCCTGAGAAGCAGCTTCCTGCTCCTGCACTGCCTGGCGTCCTGGCCCTTCCCACCACACCGAAGTCACAGGCGCTTAGTCCTTCAGGCAGGGGGAAGAACCCGAGGCACACCAGCCAGCAACCAGGGTTCCAGATCTGGCAGAGTCAAGATGGGCGGAAGGCAGATGGGCCCTCTCCCTAGCTGGGGAGCGCACCCTTCAGCCTCAAGTTGGGAGGAGGAGCTGGGGGCATTCGGCTGTCTCCAAGGATCTGCCCCAATGTCTGGAGCAATGGGGAGCAGGAGAGGTGTGTACCCATGGGGTTGGGGCCCTACTAAGCCCTCCTACTAGGAGGGTAGAGTAGGGCACCTGCAAGGGAAGGTTGCTGAGGGCAGAATTTGAACTTGTTCTTGTCTATGGGGTTGTGCCAGGTCCCAGCGGCAAGGATAGGCTTGCGGTTGTCCGCGGCAGCTCCCCGGTCCCCAGTCTCTCACCCATGGGCCTGCAGGCCTGCCATCCACAGTGGTCCCCTCACTAGGCAGGACAGCGCAGAGGGCCGCGGGTGGGTCTCCACCATGCCGGGCGGGGTCCCGTGGGGCCGGGGCGGGGCCCGAGGCGGGCAGGGCCGCCCCTTCCAGCGAGGGCGGGCGGCCGTGGCCTTTAAATGCGGCCAGGCTGCCGCCTGCAGACCATCTGCAAAAGGCGGCCCCGGTCCCCTCGCCATGCCCG